TGTAAACATACATAACGCTTCCTATCACATTCTTTGATTCCTTTGCTCAGTTCATACATAATTTCTTGTTTTGATCTTATTGTTTCTCATGACACGTCCGCATAGAAATATGCCTTCTACCTTATCCAGTTGCCTCAACAAAGACTTAACTTCCATTTCATCCCTACTTTCCGTTATCTACTTCTAGGGTCATAAGATGTAGACTGTTAACACGCTGGGTATCATCTACTAACTACATCATAACACATAGTAATACATCCTTAATCCTAACACACACAAACATACAAAGATATGGGTGGGCCAATTTCTTCTTCTATACTTCTCATATCAAACCATTCCCTAACTCTCAAGTCCCATACTCATTATTAATCATCACATTTCTCAATTGCCATAATTCCATACACCTTATTGATTGGCAACAACTTCAGTTTCCCAAAATTCTTCATAGTCTAATTTCACATGTAGTCCATATAGAAACTACGTTTAATCTCTTTTCACATCATGTTTCCACAAACATGCCTATACTTACCAATTTGAATATCCAAAGAACACCAATATTCCACATCTTTCATAACTTTAGCCTCAATATCATACACATTATGTAACCCATTCTCATTTCATAACAATTATCGAATCCTCCTTAGTTACAAAATTCAATCTGTGAAACCATACATATGGATCTCTTCTTATTACCTCAAAGTCCATAAGAGATCTAATTCTCAAGCTCAATACTTAACTGATAAAACAGGCTCACACACATCGTTAAGAATGCACAACATATTATTTCGTTACTAAATTCATGCAACTTAAATGTATTCTTGACACTCTCATGCTTAATGGACATGTGGGGGAGATCATAACTCGTGCTCTGATACCAACTGTCACGACCCAAAACCGCCCCTAAAAGTTTGGTCCATGACCAGCATGTGATTAGCCCTCAAAACAAAATTTCATAATACAATGTATTCAAATACGGCGCCTTAAGCGGAACCAAATATCAACATAGACAAAATGCCCATTGAGCTTGTGCATACATGAAGATTTAGATTAGCTTAAGCAATTAAATACGCTTCCATATTTATAATAGTCACAGAATTATACAGATCTCACACACAATTACATAAGACTCAATAAATTACATAGTTCCCAATACAAAATTAAGGCCTCAACAAGGAGGCGTAACCCGGTTGGTTTGACAGAGAGGACGACCTCGATACAACTCTAGTGTTGATCCCCGATGGCTCACCTATATATATAAAATGAAAAGGGGTGAGCTAACGCACAGTGAGTAATACTAAAGTAAAGTGGTTAATGAGGGATGTCCTTAACATTAGGATAACATACTTCACAATTTAGAAACCTATCGTAAATCTTTTCAAAACAGCCATTTATCGCATCATAAACCATACCCTTTCAAGTGGAATATATAATGGAACTATTACAAAACATTTTATTTGGTACGTGGTACGCCCACTTATACAAAAGATTAGAAGCACATTTTAAAATAGGACATCCATTCATGCAGATAAAATAACACATCATAACATGAGTCATATAGCGATGTCAAAACCTTTGTATTAATATCGTATGTTCTGAATGACCTCGGGTCCATGTATAAAAAAAAAACGGCCTCGGGCCCAATCATATATCAAAACGAGCTTCCGTCCAAACGTATCATATCGTATCATTGTATCTGATCATGGAGTAGATGGAACATTAACATGTCTCCATCTCCCCTTGGGCACAATTCATGCATGTACGGACGCAAGAGGTGTCTCGTACGAACTCTAGAGGTGACTCACACTGTAGCACTTAGTTCTGTACAGCACTTTGTTCCATACCAAAATGATTAGGTCTTAAAGACCGAACAATTCATACCATGCCATAGCATAAGCGGAACAGATAAACAGAACGGCCTTAGGCCCAACATACTATATTATAAACAATTCACAGTTCTTATTCATGACTCATTTTACTTTTCTTGGAAACTTGCGTATTTTAACAAAATACGACATTTAGAGAATCATGTCACACATTAACAAAATACGATATTTAGAGAATCATGTCACACATTAAAATAGATAATGAAAAGCATATCTTTACTAGACTATTACTCACAGTGCTGGGCTTCTAGTAACAATGGGACGATGTCCTCGTTGACCTACAAACAAAATGCACATAGCATAACATGAGAATATAACGAATCTCTTTCTTGTTCTTTAATCAATTAGCCTTGGTGGTTCTAAACTCATCAGTCCTCAACAGGTCATAATCTGTGTCTAGGAAAATAGGAAGAATCAAAAGGAAAATGGTTTAGAAGAAGAAATGGTAGTAAACCAGTACACAGAAAGTGAACAATCATCACTAATTTGGGCATATCTATTTGTGTACTTATAATTTATTAGTGAAACCACAACCATTGGAAACTATACTTCTGGGGCTTGAATTTAGGCTCAAGAATCACTTAAAACGGAGTCCGGATGCAAAAGATATGCTTATTTGAAGTTGGCTGAAACAGAGTTGTCCCGCACCTACGGGAAACAGGGCCGCACGTGCAGGACAACGTGCTTTTTTAGCAGAATCAGATTTGGTGTTGGAAATGGACTGCCACATGTGCGGGAAGCCCCACCACACATGCGGCTTTGGGTAAAATTTGCTGTTCGAAAATCTTGCTTGGCTTTAACACTTGTTTTTCCATTTTCTAAGTTAGGTTTCAACTTTAACACTACAAGAAATAAGGGTTTTTGCGGCGTTTTTTTAGCGACGTTTTTTAAAACGTCATTTTTGTTAATATTTAACGACGTTTTAAAAACGTCATATATTTTTTTTATTAAAACGACACAGTTTTGTAATTGAAGGCGTTTAAAAACGCCTTCAAATGTGGTAGGCCATACGCGCCTATTTTAAATCTGAGATTAAAGCATTTGTAAGCCCTTAGGCCTTCAGACATAAACCAACATTGAATCCTCACATCGCCTCTCTCTCAACCCTCTCTAAAAACCCTTATTTTGAATCTCACCTTCAAATCTCACAGATTCACCGAGTTCGAAGCTCCACCACCACCACCATCTGCACCGGCGAGGTAGCGAGATTCACCGATTCATCGATTTCACAGATTCACCGATTCAAATCTCACAGATTCACCGATTTTAGATCAGTCTGCACTGCCACCGTGATTTCGATTCAGATCGGTTTGCACTGCCATTGCGATTTCGATTCTATCTCTAGATCTCTCTCTCAGAGATTTATCTTTAATTTCATCTCAGAGCGATTTCGATTTCTCTCTCTCTCTCTCTCTCTCTTTCTCTCTCTCTCTCTCTCTCTCTCTCTCTCTATCTATTTCGAAGCTCCACCGCCACCACTATCTGCACCAGCGAGGTATCAATTTCTCTCTTGGCTCTGACGCTGGTTCTATTTATATTGTTAATTTTCCTCGGCAATCGCTTCTTCTTCGTATTTTGTTTCGATTATCAACTTGCTATTTTAACTCTCCAATTCTAAATTGTATTATTGAAGTTATTTGGAGAATGAGAGTAGTTTATTTTGTGAATACGAGGCTGTGAAATTACATTTATGGTTTTATGATAGTTGTTAACTTCTATTAAGCTGTGAATTTACTTTCCAATTCCAATTCAAGTAAGGTATTCTAGCAGCTTTAACTTTAACCTCATCAGCTCTATTTATTGGTCTAAGAGTAAGATGAACTTTAGGCTTTTCTTGATTCCATTTAGTTAATTTGTTGGCTCTCTCATTTTCCTTAATTTTCCCACAGTTCCTCTCTCATTTTCTCTCACTTTCTCGCCCCAGCAAATTCTGACAAATAGTCTCCAGCAAGAAAAGGAGTAGAACCTTAGTCTGGTTTTATCAATTACCTATACCATCAATATCCATATCGTTAGATATTTTCTTGAATATGCTGAACATGTTCATTTGTCATCAATGTGAAGGATAATTTTCCATTGTTGTTTTGTGGAGAAGAATCTTTATTGTATAACATGATTTTGAAATTTTAGATGTTAAGTATATTTTTTTCTTAAAGTTAGATGACAACTGTTACGTTCAGTTTTCTTTTCCTTGCTTATCTGGAACATATGTCTTTCTCACTTATGCTTGGTGTCATTTCAATGTGTGGTGCTCATGCTTGTTAGATTGATGACTATGAAAAATAGAACTTATGTGCTCTTGATCTACGATATTAGGCTCTTCATCTCAGGCACATTTTTCAAATCAATTAATTCTTTGGTAGTCAATTTTGCTTCAAATTATTGAACCTTAGCATGAATTATATAAATAAGTCTTTTATTTTGTCCCACTATTTGCTCAGCTGATTAAATGATCTAAGGCTTGTAATTCCATAGGGCCTCATTTAGCCCTAGTTCTAACCTTTGTTTAAGGCTCCATTCTCTATAAGAAAGGGAATTTCTTTGTATATGACAGAAATAGTTGAAGTCACTTCAATGAAATTGTAGTTTTCTTTCCCTCCTTTCTGCATTTTGTCAGGATTGAACTGCACAAATATGGTTATTTGAATGATCAATTTTTCTTAACTTCATATGTATTTCCTTCTAAAATGCACCTCTTTTTCTATTTGATGGATTATTTTAAACTTTGTTCTGGCATTGTTCAATAATTAATGCATATTTTGTCCTCTCATTGGTCATGTTTTTGAAAATAAGGGGTTGGAATTGATGTCTCATGTTGCATCTTCACTACTGAAGACAATGAGTAGCTGATGCCTGCTGCATTTATGCCAAAACATGTTACTAAGGAAAACATGTTTGTGACCCCTAAAAAGCCTCCCCTAATTTGACTCATAATGACATGGTATGTTATGTGTCAACTTTTGATTCGCCCCAAACTCAACAATAGAAGACCCAACTCCCTTGTCACGTTATTATGGGTGCATTTGAGGATTTGAATTGTGGGTCTCTATCATTTCTATGTACTCAGTTTCTTAATTGAAAGATATATTCTTTTCTTTGATTCTTTGCTATGTTAATAATTTCAGTCCGAGCATGGTGGGTCAGATGTACAAGTGCACCTGAATGTTGAACATCATTATGAAGCAGATGTAATTCCCCACATGTCAAGGTCACCTAGGGTAAAGTACATAACCTATTATGAAGACTCTAACAGTCTTCCTGGAAAGAGAACAGCAGTTTGGGAGCTTGACAAGGGTATGTAAAATGTCTTACAAATCACGTTAACTGTTGTATGCAATTTTGGACAACAGTGGCTTCAAAGGATTTCAGGCTCAGTAAATACTTACACTTGGCTTAAAGGAAATGCTTAGCTGAGAATGAGTGAAAATTCTCTATTATAAAATGTTTGGGTTTGCAATATTAGACTTTTCATTGTTTTATTTTATCTAATATCGAATATGTTATTTGTTAATAGAAAGTAAATGTATCTAGCAATCAATTATACACTTCACGCATATTTGTCTGTTCACATGTATTGTATGTATCATTTCCCTTAAATAGGATGAATGAACCTTATAGCCAAATAAATGAGTTTTTGGTTTGTGCTCCAAGGGTAGTAAAATAGTAAGAAAAAATTATGGCTACATCTCAAGGTCACGGGTTGTGGAAAGCAAGTTTTGCATTTTAAGGTCATATTCAACAAAAAAAACATGAAATAATCTTTGCTGAAATAACATTAGCTTGCTTAAATTCCACAAGAACATGAAGTACAATTTATGCTGATATTCTCTTAGCATAGTGAAAAAAATGTTGTAAAAGCTTCTCTGTCTTCCTTTCATCTGAGTAATAGCATTACAGATTATACCACAGCCCACAAACATTTGACCATATTATAGTTTCCTCACAATTTTAAACATTAGGAAAGAACTAAGACCCATATAGATAGATCTAGTTCTTTTCTTACTCCAGTTTGTTTCTTCTCTTTATCAATCATGATGGCACTTTAAAATTAGTTGGAACTGCTTTCATGTAGCAAATCACAGGTACATTGTTAGATCTCCAGTTCTAATGCGGGAATTGTGGCTTGAGATGTGGCATGATAGCCATCCTGATTCAAAATCAAAATTTGTTACAAAAGGTGGATCTCTTCTTTCTTAGTTCTTTTTGTTTCATTAAATTGTTTTACCTCTTAAATTTTACATGGAACAGCTAAGCGTGGACCTTTGAGGGAAGATGACTATTATTGGGATTATGGAAAAGCTCGCTGTGCATGGTCTGAGCATTGTGAATATAGGTATTTTTCTTACATGTTTTTTAATTATTTTTTCGAATATTGTGGTCATCAGTTTCCCTTATTGCATGATGTACAGATACATTTTTGGAGATGTTCACCTTGGGCAGAGCTATAGATTGAGGAATTGTTCAGCTGATCTCCTCTTGCATTACTTATAAAATACGAGGTGCCTCTTTGTTCTGCTGGCTATATTGTGTGAGCTTTAAACTAGATTTTTGAGTGATCGAAGGTTCACTTATTGAAAAATAACCACAAAAAAAGAGAGGGAGGTTTTTTCTTGAAGGAATTTTGGAAAAAGTTCATACTCTTCTGGAGTGTCGAGGAAGAAAGAAGTTAAAGAAACTTGTAAATGTAGTAGAGGCTAGTTGTCTGTTTATTTGTGAAGTATAGGAAGATGATAGTTGAACGTGATCATTCTATCAGCTTTTGAAACAATCAAAGTTTTGGGGAAAGATTTTGAAAAACTGGGTGTGGATGGAATTTTCCATCATGTCCTTTAGAATGCTCTATGTATTTCTCAATTGAAGGAAAATGACAGATTGAAGTAGCAGACCTAGTAAGAAATACAAGAGGGTGTATCCATTTTGGCCAGTGAGCTCATAGACTATGTATTGTTTTCAAAAGTTGGGATTCAACTACCTATTTTTAAAAAACGTGTTATGGAACCTTTCCCAGAATTCATTAGTTTACATGTGTTTTTGATTGGGACCAATCCTTCTTTATTTCTGCTTTCTCAGGACTCTTCAGATGTTTCTTCAAGAGCTGGCATCTCACCACCATTTTGTTTCCATAGTTGCAGACATGCTGCATAGTGCCAATTGGAGGCACATGTGACGAATGTACGCATATAGCTTCTCATTATCCTTATATTATATGCTCTATGGTAGAGGTGTTTTTATTATTATATTTTTTCTTTTTTTTTTAATTTCTGACATATATAACTTGAATGTTGTATTGCAGTGTAAAGATCCTCACTTCTGAAAGTAAATGGGGATGATGTGCTTTGAAGTATTCACTCTACATGTAAGCAGGTGACGTTTTGCAAAAATTGCAGGTTGCGGAAAATGTTAAAGGTCTCTTTTTAGTATAAACTGATCTGTTATTCATTACTTTGAGTTGTTGCTCAGTATATTCAACCTCCATTGAACATGAACGGTTCAACAAAGGTTGTGACTCAATTTTTTTTTTATTTATTTTATATTTTCTCAATTTTATAATTTTATTTAATATATAATTTAATTTTTTAACAACACTAAAAAAATTTAATTTATAAGGCCATAATTTTTAATTTATCTAAATCAAGATTCAAGAGAGTATGTGTTTTCTGTGGTAGCAGCCCCGGCAACAAGCCCAGGTACCTGCTCGCCGCTATTCAGCTTGGAAACGAACTGGTAACCATTTACCACTTGTCAAAATATCATGAAACAATTTGAATTTGAAAACAAGTCTCTTATTTTTCTTGTAATTAATTGATTAACAATTGTCAAGAAACATTCTTATTCTTATTGTGATTCTTTTTACTTTAAAGTGGAATCGAATTTCGGAGACTAAAACAGAGAACAAAAGGGCTCTATTTTTTTTTTTTTTGGAACCATTTGGTTCCAAAAGAGTTGATGGGTCTAATCTCCTAAGCTGTCTATGATGGTGGCCACCATGTCTTTGGGTAATCTCTCTCTCTCTCTCTCTCTCTCTCTCTCTCCACTCATAAACTCCATTATTTATTTTTTTGCAGAGTGATTCCAAAAACTCTTATGCTTAGAGAGGTAGTTCACTGCACTTGTTTCCTCATAATTTCAATTAAAACTGACTTCATTGAAATTCTTTAGCCTTTTGTTTTTATTTTTATTTCAGTGTATGTGATGATGAAGCACATTTAACATTCACCCCCAAAAAAGTTAGATGACTAAACTGTTTGGAAAAATGCTAATGGTAATCTAAAGGGCTGTAAATAATATCGGTAGATGCATAAAATATCTATAAAGTGTAGAAAAATATTTTAAAATGTGTAGAAGTTGTATTATTGAGATTTTAAATTTTTGATATTTTGTTTAACAATTCATTAAGTTGTGATTAGCATGACTCAATAGTCAAAGTATATTCTCTTTACAGTTTCTTTAGAATGAAAGTGATAGAACGTGAGGGAAATAGAAACAATATTAACATTGTAAATAACTTTTTAATCCAATAATATCCCTTGACATTGATTCTGGTATTTCATCAAACTGAAGTTCCTCTATGATCTGTTCACTGATTCTATTTACAATCTAAAACACATGGCAAAAACACAGCAAACATCTCTATAATGTTAGTAAGCAGGGGAACTGACGGACAAATATTGAAGTCAGTTCCTAACTTGTCCATCATCGTGGACAGAGAAAATGGAACGCTCTCTAGGATCCATCTACTAAAACTTTATTACCAGCAAATAATGAAGTTCATATTTACAAAATTGACAAGAAAATTCAAAATCATGTATGTGTAATTAAATATATGTCTGTGTGTGCGCTGCACAGAAAGACGTACCTTAACCTTGTTTCCTAGGAGAAGCAGAAAATGAAATTCAGACATTTTTTCAAGAGAGAACCAAAGAAGTAGAGCCTAGTAAACAATAAATTCCAGAATTTATGCCTATTGTTCTGTTCACAAAAGGAAGCAAAAGTGATGAGACTTGAGAGTCATCTCCTACCTATGCTGTGCTCCAAAATTTAGGCCACCATGATAGATACCGGCTCCAGAAAGCCATGCGAAATGTACAGCTCTTCTTTACTTGATAAAGAAATGCAGTTCACTGCAAGATAGGCAAAAATGGATTTCATTTTCAAAATACGAGAATATGATTATGAGAACAATATATCCACCCAATTTCTGTAAAATCATAATTAATTTGATTACACAAAAGAGAATAAACCCATGCAACCTGTCTGCTTTAAATTTCTGCTTTTTGATTATTAAAATTTAGTTTAAGAAATGGAATATCAAATTTGCTGCACATTGGTATCCAACTAGACAAATATATTTTGAATCTATATACATTGAGTCTGTATATATTTTAAGGATGTTGTATGTTTAACACTTATGTTTGGTTGGAGGTTAATCATCATCCTCGAAATGATTGTCTGTAGGTCCAACCCCTTTGAACCAGTGATGTCTTATTTGGTCATCCCATGGATATAAAACCCTCCGATAATTCCTTTCTTTCCCCATGCATTAACTTTGTCTTGGCAAATTGTTAGATTTTGGAATTGCTATCAACAGTTAGATGCATTTTCTACTGTTTATGATTATTGATATCAACTTCTCTCTCTCTCTCTCTCTCTCTCTCTCTCTCTCTCCCTCCCCCCCCCAATTTTATACATGTTTTTAAGTTCAGGGAACAATAGAGATAAATGGAAAAACGGCATTGGAGACGAAGATGGAGAGGCTGGATTACAAGTCAACAAAACTCAGATTCCTTACGTAATTGCAGAGATACATGACATTGCATAGAGAGAGGCATCCTATTTTGGTAAACTAGGTTGATATGGTAGGAAAAGGATTTGTGTGAATGTGGTTATTGTGAATGGGAATATGAATATCAAGTTGGCTCAAATGTCCAGATTTCTATTTTGTTGAACTCAGATTTCTATTTTGGCTCAAATAGAGGGGCATCCTATTTTGGTGACTCCTTAATGTTATTCAAATGATTTGTGTGTGAATGTTTTTTTTTTTTTTTTTTTGCACAATGATTGTGGACTATCATTTGATAAGATTTTACTCTGTGAATGGGAGTTATTATTTCATATTAGTGTTATTTTTTAGTTTTATTATAGGTATTTTTTTAGTTCAATAACATAAATTAGCACAACAAAAAAAAAAGAGGGCTATCATGGCATTTCTAAAAACGTCGCTAAATAGTATCCCAACGGTTGGATTTTTTGGGAAAAAGAGATACGACGGCGTTATAAAAACGTCGCTAAATAGCATGGTGACGTCATGTTACCGTGAATGGAACTTTTAGCGGCGTTTTCATATAAGCGACGTTTCTAAAGCGCCATAGAGTTATAGCGACGGCCGCATCTTCGACGTTTGGTGCAAAACGTCACGAAAGTGATTTGGCGGTGTTTTTAGGACCTATCGTGGCGTTTTTTAAACGCCTCTAAATCCTCCATTTCCAGCAGTGTAATCACCCAAAAACACGTAAAATTACCCCATAACATAATAAACTAACATCACTCAAATAGAAGTTCACCTCAATTACATCAATCTTGCTTAAAGTTGGAAATTCAAATCTCAGTTTTCCTATATATTCAAACTTCCACAATATATGCTCAATATCATGTAAATATATCTTACACATGGATGGCTCTCACACCAAACCTTGTTATTCCATGAATCATTCTTAAGATTGAACCCAATTCAAGCAAATTTAAGGAAATCAAGGTTCAATTCCTTGAGTTCAACCCATTTCATTCATAACCCAACACACTTGTTCATTTACATATTAATCTTCCAAGTCAATCCCTGATTTCATGTAGTAGATGAATTATCTACAAAGATAATAGTTAAAGCCACATACCTTAGCTCAAATCCTTGCTTTTCCCTTAATCTCTTCAATCTTCCCGAGCTTCATGGTTGATCTTCTTCCTCCCTCTTCAATTCTTTTCAATTATCTTCAAACCTCCATGAATGGTGAGCTTCTCCTAGAGAATCTTTGTCTCTCCTTCTCTCTCTCTCTCTGTCTCTCTCTCTCTCTCTCTCTCTTTCACGGTTCTCTCTCCCTCTCCCTTAGATATTTTTGGCTCAAATGTTGAGTTCACTCATATCATAGATATCTACATATATACTTATCACGAATAGGAATAGCCAAACGCGCCCTTACGAATCGTACGAAATCAAATTTCAATTAAACTTCCCAGATGACTCTAAAAATTATGTTGACCGTAAATATGTACTTTGTTTTGGTTTTGAAGTCTCTAAGGCCTTAAATTTACAGTGCAAAGTTAACCACCCAAACATACCTTAACGAATCTGACAAAATAAATTTCCAATTAATTTTCCCAAATAGCTCTAAAAATTCCCATTAACATGTCTATGTACTCAATTCCGATTTCTGAACCCATAAAGGTCTCCAATTCCAGTTTTAAAGTCGTAACTCAATAGATAATTCTTCAATTCGAACAGATATAATTAAATTAAAGCACATTAACCCATAGGTAAATAAAGATATTTCCTTATACGCATATTGGGGTCGTTACACTTCTCTTCATTAGTGGACTTAACTATCACTTTGGATAAAAATCATTAAGTAATGGAAAGGTACTAAAAGAGGCTAATAAAAATTGGAGCAAAAGAGGTTAACAAGATAGTAAAATCAAGCCGGGTTCAATCGGACGTTAATTGAACCCATTGTTTCTTGACTCATTGCGTACTTTCTAGTGACGCTCAATGGTTCAAGCGACAATGTCCACCACTTTCTTTGAGGTAACTCCATGATAAGGAAAGGTCGTTGTTAGTCTTTTATTTCCAGGTATTGACCTTTTGTGCCATTGACTCATAGATCATCACGCAACAACCTTGCGTAACTGATGGTTTGTGAATCAATTTTGCCCTGTTTCTATTCTGTTGCAGCCTAGCAATACCAAAATCTTGTGGCCGGCAGACCATTTTCCATGGCCGGCCGACCACCTTTTGTTGCACAGGTAATGGCATTTTCCTCGCAAAACAGACCAGAAGCTAAGGTGAAAACAGATTAATTTTCTGACTGTAAAACAAAACAATTCTAGTAGCAAAACAGAGAAGCTTTCGGGAGGATGTTCTCGATTGTGTTCATGGTTCTTCGACCCCCTGTTCGAATTAATTAGCTTACATAGCTCTTAGATTAATTAGTATGTTGTAATTAATTAGATTACCTTTGAATGTGTAATATCTAGTTAATTCAATTAATTAATTTGGTGTTGCAATAATTAGTTAAATTAGGACATTCATTCGAACCCTCTTGTGTGAGGGCTAATTTGTAACACTTGTAATATTTGTATGTCTTCCAACCCCCATTTCTTTCTCCCTTTTATTTACTTGATTACGATGATTGCATTCTTG